AATGAACTAAATAACTTCAACATATTTTGTCTGAAATTTTAGCAAATGAACTAAATAATTTCAGCATGCGTTTAGCAAAAACTCATTAAAAAATTACATACTACATGACAAAAACTTAAGCATATTTTGTCTGAAGTTTTAGCAACTGAACTAAATAATTTCAGCATGCGTTTAGCAAAAACTCATTAAAAAATTACATACTACATGACAAAAACTTATGTTTAGTCTGAAGTTTTAGCAAATGAACTAAAAAACTTAAGCATGTTTAGTCTGGAATTTTAACAAAATGAACTAAAAAACTTAAGCATGCTTAATTTGAAATTTTAGCAAATAACTAAAAAACTTAAGCATGTTCAGTGTGAAGTTTTAGCAAATGAACTAAATAACTTAAGCATGTTTAGTGTGAAGTTTTAGCAAATAAACTAAATAACTTAAGCATGTTTAGTCTGAAGTTTTAGCAAATGAACTAAATAATTTAAGCATGTTTAGACTGAAGTTTCGGATAAAATTCATGATAAACTGTAGACTGCAGTATAAATAACTTCAGCATGAACTAGCATGAAGTTTTAACTTCAACATGAAACAACTTCATGCTACATTTAGCATGAAGTTGTAGCTTCAAGGTGAAATGACTTCATGCAAGTGTGATTCTGAAGATGAATTTAGATAAGTTTCTGATTTTTTTATAAAGTTGCTGAGAGGAGAGGATGAGATCGTTTTTATATCTTTTGTTATGGGTGTAATTGCCATATTATTACAGATTTTTTTGTGAGATGACTACCAAATCAATAATTTTTAAAAATATGGTACAAGTTAAAATATGGCACAAATATAGGGTATAACTGCAAACCCCGAGACAATGGGGTGGGCTTGAATCCATGATTTAATATAGGGCTCAAACTAAATATTCTTGGCCCAAAGCGTATCTAGGGCAACCCTTTACCCTAAAAACCCTACGTATATCATCTCCTTTGCATCATTTCCTCGTCTCCTCCGGCGAGAGAGAGAGAGAGAGAGAGAGAGAGAGACGGCGAAATGGGTCGTGTAATCAGAGCACAACGTAAGGGAGCAGGGTCCGTTTTCAAATCCCACACTCACCACCGTAAAGGTCCGGCCCGATTCCGTACCCTCGATTTCGGCGAACGTAACGGTTACCTAAAGGGAGTAATCACAGAAGTGATTCACGATCCCGGTAGAGGAGCACCACTCGCGCGCGTGACATTCCGTCATCCGTTCCGTTACAAGCACCAAAAAGAGTTGTTCGTTGCTGCTGAAGGGATGTACACTGGTCAGTTCGTTTACTGCGGTAAAAAAGCTACTCTTATGGTCGGCAATGTATTGCCGCTCAGATCTATACCAGAAGGAGCTGTTGTATGTAATGTGGAGCATAAAGTGGGAGATCGTGGTGTTTTTGCTAGATGCTCTGGTGATTATGCCATTGTTATCAGCCACAACCCTGATAATGGTACCACTAGGTATATTGTTAATCGTTTTCTGAAACAAATTATAGTTTTGTTTGATTTTTGTTAACTGTTATTTTTGTTTGTGTATAACTGTTTGGAGCCTTATAAATGCTTTCTAATATGATTGAAAATGTTATTTTTAGTCGACCCAACTAGTGTGGGGTTGATAAGTGGTAGTTGATTAATCAGATAACTTGAAATTAGCTTGTATAGATATGATTAATTCATGGGTTGATAATTGCTGAACAAGTAGCTGAGTCAAGATAATGGTTAAATTTGTGGTAAAGATGATTTAGTTTTGACCAGTCTTACTGTAATGACACCTATAAGCAGAAATATAGTTTGCTGGTGTAACTAGGCAAAGTTTGGTCTTTTGCAGCTGGTTGTTATCTGATCTAATGTTGCATTTGTATTTAATATGTGGATTAGACCACTTTAATGTGAAGTATGAGCTGTTGGAGTTGAGGAAGGAGGTTAATTGTGTCATTATATTGTCTTTGTGATGAAGCTCTATGTGAAAAAGGGCATCTTTTTGCTAAATTATATCCATTGCTATTATGCTTGTTTGGGATATTTAGCCTTACGGTGCGAATAAGTTTGTTACTGAGGTTCATTGCTGTGGTGGTGAAGAAAGAGTGGGAAGTGTTTTCTGTAATCTTATTTTGTATGTATGTGCTGTATCTGGAAAAGATTGCACTTAGTAACATGTTTTTTGGTTTGGTAAACTTACCTTGTTACATGTTGACCCAAATTACTTGAATTTCCACACGTTATTTCGTTAGCTCTTTTTTTCTGTGATGAGTTGGTTTAAAAACATTCAATTTAGCTCTTCTTGTGATTGTTACGATGTTAGTTTACATTTTCAGGCTTTGTCCCATGCTTTTATCCAGTACTCTAAACAGATTTGATATACATGTTGTGATGATATTATGGCCATTCTGTCGTTTGCAAGTATGTTCAGATGTTTACTGTAATGTGTTTCATCAAATTTTGATTTTTTTGATCAGGGTTAAGCTTCCATCAGGAGCCAAAAAGATTGTGCCAAGTGGATGTCGTGCCATGATTGGTCAAGTTGCTGGAGGAGGACGTACCGAGAAACCAATGCTCAAAGCTGGTAATGCTTACCACAAGTACCGGGTGAAGAGGAACTGCTGGCCTAAGGTCCGTGGTGTTGCTATGAATCCTGTGGAGCATCCTCATGGTGGTGGTAACCATCAACATATTGGTCATGCCAGCACAGTCCGTCGTGATGCACCTCCTGGGCAGAAGGTCGGTCTTATTGCTGCAAGGAGGACTGGTCGTCTCCGTGGTCAAGCTGCCGCCACTGCTGCCAAGGCTGACAAGGCTTAAGACAATTTGCTTGTTAGTACTTTTTATCTTGTCATTGTGTCCTGTTCAATTTTTGAGTATTCAGCTACACAACAATCTGGTAGTAAAGTAAGTAACATGCTAAATTTTGTTGGCATGTTTAGTAAGTTTTGTTTTCATGATCTTTCGGTGGTGCATTTTACTTTTATCAATGTCATTCAGTTACCTAAACCTTTCGCTCATCCATTCTGCCCGTCCAGACGCGGCGCCCTTTCTCATTATCATCTACCGCCCTTTCGATGCAGCGGGGACGAGACGACGTGACATACTACGATCACATACAAAAGTGTTGTCCTTTGTCTCGGCAATATGGAACCTCTCAACAGCTCCCGGTCTTTTATGGGATCCTATCGGGATAGAGGTAGCCCCCTATCTATAGTAAGGGGGCCTTTCTTGCTCGTTAGAGCTGTTTTTTGATTCTGTAGTGCAATTCGTTTGCTTGTTTGTGCACCAATTTGGAACAAAGGGCGAATATTTCATGCTTTACCGAATAGCTCAAGGTGGAAGGAAAGAAAAAGTTTTTCAAAGCAAATTCATGGATGCAAGACTTAATCAATAATATCAACAACATAATTAGGGACTAAGATTGTGGCTAAGATTACTTTAATAAAATTAATGATCACTAAATAGATCTGAATATGTGCAAATTCTGATATCACCACTCTAGTATCAGTACCAACGGTAAACGTGTAATGTTCAGCGTACAAGTGTAAATTGAGACTTTCTACTTGTCAGACTAAGATCGCGAAATTCCAATTGCTCTAAGCTAAGCAAATCTGCAAATACTTCTGCAAGTTATTTCAAGTAGCAACAGCAAACCACGACATTAATAACTTATTTGGTAGTACTATTTATTTATTTATTCTGCCTTGTAATTACTTTGACTTGTTTATGTTAAGCAAATCAATTTTAAGTACTTTTAAGCCAAAATAGCTTTAAAGTCATTTTGTAGTGTTTGAATAAAGTAAAAAAAAAAGTGATTTGAAGCACTTGTTTTTAAGCTGAAATGAAGGAAAAAAAATAAGTCAAAAGTTAGAATTTCTAATTTATGACTTAAAAACTATTTTGACTTAAAAGTTACTTAAAATAAGCTCATCCAAACGGGTTCTGCCACCGGACAAAGTGCCAATGATGTTGTTTGTTAATGTACTTATATGGTATAGGTGGTTAAAACGTCTTTGAAAATCCAAGCATAAACCATTTAGGAGATGAAAAGATTTAGACATGTTTATTTCGTATTGGTTGGCGATAATATTGGACATCCACTAACTCACACAAATTAGAATCTTGCCCCTTTATTCAATTAATTAACTGTTATTATTTTTCCTGTTAGCCGGCAAGTTGATATATAATTGGAGAAACGTTATAATACTATTATTTGTAACGTTAAACAAATTAGCGTGCCTTGCGTGTGACATTTTAAATTTAACATTATTGTTTCACATTCTAATTCCTAAGAGTGAATCATGCTTTTGAAATTGGGAAACGAATTTACAATATACTAAGATCGATGGAGAAAATAAAAGATTGATTTCTATCTATTGATAAGACTTTTGACACGCTCACTGAAATTTGAATTAATTCAATAGAAAAGCTTTAATCTCATTATCAGTATAATTTGAAACTTTAGTTATTGGTTACTAAACTTCGTTTATTTTCTTAAGTGTCTCTTCCTTAAAAACTTACTCATACTCGATGTTTACACAAATCTAATAAATACATGATACATATTTCACATATATAGTCAGAGGTGGGACCTATAGCGCATGCTTTTTATGCGTTATAGGTCTTTGGATAAGGCCAACCTCCCTTAGAGTTGGTAGTTAGCCCAGAGACCTATTGTGCACAAGGGGCTAGCGCTATAGGTAATCTTGTTTTTTTTTTTTTGCCATTATTTTTGTCGCTTGGGTCGAATTGTGCATTACTTTGGTTCTGGACTCATCAAAGGTAGAGGTAGAATTTGAAGCTTATGGGTGTGAGATTCTAATTTTCTTAAGTTATTGAGTTCTAAATTAATAATTTGTACATATTCAATGAATTTCTTAAGACAAATATAAAGTTTAGACCAAAACTATTGGATTTGGTGGAACTCATAACCGAAAGGCTGACTCCGTTCTTGTACATAATTATCACTAAATCATACTAGTTAATTAATACACGTTCTCACCTCAATTTATCACACGGATAAGTATTTACCAATGTGATTGTAGACAAATTTACACCATAGGTGGATAAGCTCTTTTGGGAATGGATAAAACGTCAAACTCGAAAACAATAAAGGACAATAATGTTTCCACTGTCCGTACTGCTCGCAAAACCTCTTACCCCAATCTACAATAAAGAGCTTCAAAATCCGGCAGAAAGAGATAGACAGCTGTAGAGAGTCGGAGAAAAACAGAGATGTGTAGATAGGAAAAAAAAAACCAAACTACTTCTATCATACACATTTTATCAAACACCTTTCATACAATCTTTATTTTTCTGAACGTGACTCTCCTATCCTAACATTAGTTATATATATCTAGAGAAAAACAAACCATCTCTATCACACATTTTATCAAACACCTTTCGTACAATCTTTATTTTTCTTAAGAGAGAGATCAAACCACTTCTATCATAGACATTTTATCAAACACCTTTCGTCCAATCTTTATTTTTCTAAACGAGACTATATATACGTTACATACCCGGTAAATATGAAGTTTTTTGTTGAATTGGTGGCCTGCTGTGGCTGTTCTTCATATCGTGTGCGACAGGTTGAAGCAGAGGAGATGGGACCTCTTGTACCTGCAGCTGCTGAAACGTCGTCTGATAATAATAATAATAATAATAATATTATGTATAAAAGGAGGAAGCAAGGGAGACGAGTGAAAGCGAGATCGGCTGGTTCATTTCCTGATTGGAAACCGTCTCTTTCGTCTATATCAGAAGATCATGATGCTTTGCCTACAAGAATGGCTCTTAATTCCAACAGGAATCTGAAGAAGAACGCAACTGCTTCTCGTCATCATCATCGTGATAAAATCAGGTACTCCCTCGTATCATTTTATGTATTGAGTTTAGTAATGTAGAAAAAGCTTTTGATCTTGCAATATGAAACTAAAATGGGCATACAGTGGCACACAAATTCGGAGACAGGATTTAAAGTTTGTGGTTTCTGAATTTGTCGTAAAATTCATAGCTCATCTTAGTTCACAATCAAGTATTTATATATATTTAATAAATTTCTTAAAACAAATACAAAGTTTAAGCAAAAGTTATTAGGTTCGGCCGAATTCGTATAAAAAAGCCTAGCTCCCCTTGGATACACATCAATAATTTAAAGTTTATGGGTTCATACAATAGTGATTAAGTTCACAGTAAAATATTTATAGATATTTTAGAAACATCTTAATATATATATATATATATATATATATATATATATATATATATATATATATATTTCGGGTACAACAATTGGCACAATAGGTACCGTACCCATCCGACTATAGAGCGGCTCGGTAGAGTAAAATAGATACTATAAATAATGCATGCTAGACTCATGGAATCACCTTCTAAACCTTTTGGAGTGACTTAAGAACA